TTCTTAGAGAATTGAAACTGCTGGGGCTCATGGCCTCGATAGCAGTAACAAGGCTTGGTCTTCTCTTTATGCGTGGGTTCCGGTGCTGGGCACTGTATACCGAGCGACATTTAAAACAGACATGTGTCGATAGCGCCTTTCAGGCACTGATCCCCTGTGGGAAACCCCAATCTGTTGACAGAGGGAATCCCCAGGGTTACGCCATATCTAGTAGTGACAACAAATGCATCACTCACGATATGGACGAGGAACTCTGTAAGAGGAGAGTGGTCGACAGCGCTGTAAGAGCGTCAAATAAATGTTTTGGAGTAGTTCTCCTGGTGCTGAGACACTTGGCCCAGTAGGGCAAACGTGTTAGTCAGAATGAGAAATACAACATGTGGTGTCGTATATAATTGGTGGGAGCGTTTGCTCTCTTCCCCTGCTACAATTGGCATGACCGCTTTGGATATGGGGCAGACCTGCGGTCCCCCATGGAGTGATGTTTGCACTAATGGCGCAAATCTGGGATCAGGTTTCACAGAACCGGTGTTGATCTTTTTGCGTCTGCAGAAAACACGTGCCGCCCGCTGTTTTCTTGATTATGGACAGCTTCACTTGGGTGGATGCTTTGTCGCTTGTATAGTCCAGAACCCTGCTGTACGCATTCCCGCTGAGGGAATTGATACAGTCCCCCCTGTACAGGGTGCGGGGTCTGTCACTGATTTTGGTGGCTTCTCGCTGGCCAGCGAATACATGGCATGCAAGCATTATGACATTGCTTTTTAAGGACACAGAGGTGTCTTTTTCCCTATGCAATGACCTGCTGTCCCAGGCAGGAGGCAGACTCTGCACCCTCGGCTGGAACTGTGGTTTCTAGGGCCTGCCCGTTGAGAGGGAAAACTTCCACATTTTGCTCCGTCTCCCGCACGTTAGAGCATACGCATTTCAAGGTACTTCTTTGGCCATAAGTGCAGAAAGACGTGTTCAGCGAATACACACTTTCTAGTTGACTTTGTTTCCAAGCGCTCAAGTCACTTGCATGTGTGCAAAAATTTTACTGCACACAGACAATGTGCGTGGACGTCCGTGGACGCCCTCCTGTTGACAAGGTTTATGTCGCACGGAAGGTGCGTGGAACGCGGGCGGCCGAAGTACTTAGTGCAGGGATCCTCAAATCTGGCCCACGAGATCCACTTTCCTGCAGAGTTTAGCTCTAACCCTAATCAAACACACCTGAGCATGCTAATCAATGTCTTCGGAATCATTAGAAAATCACAGGTAGGTGACTTTGATCAGGGTTGGAGCTAAACTCTGCAGCGCATTGGCCCTCCAGGGCAAGATTTGAGGAATCCTGACTTAGGGCTTAGGTCTACAAACTATGTGTGAACCTTTTTTGAGCCTTTATAATTCTTGAGTCTTGGATGCTGCCCGTTGGTTGGCACTGGCATCAGAGAAGCGCATTGGGGATCTTTATGCGCTGTCGGTGCATCCCTTGTGCATCAAATTTTGAGTTGGGTGGTGTTGCATCCGAACGCAGCATACCCTGATGGCACAAGTAGGCTACATCACTCCTCCCTTTCTCCTCTCCACCTGTAGCTGTGTGGTGAGCGCACTGGCGCCGTTGTACTGTGGCTGCATTCGCATCATCCAAGTGGGCGCTGCACACTGGTGGTTGAGGAGAAATCCCCTCATATGATTGTAAAGTGCTTTGGGTATACAAGCAATACACCATGGAAGCGTTATATGAATGCGCCATTCATCACGGAGACGTCTATTTGATGTCTGCGTGTACATCTGCAAGATGTTTTTTTACAGTATTTGCTCATCTGCAATATGCCTATAGGACATTTCCTATCAGATGTCAAGTGGACATTTTTTTAGATGTCTTTTAAAATGTTTATGATTTAGAACATATGTAAAACTGACATCTTAAAGGCATCTGTCAGATGTTTGCACACAGCAGATGCTTTCCGGATCAAGCGATCTTTAACAAACATCTTGACTTGCAGACGTATGTGTGCTATCTGGGTATACACCGGACAGGAGTGCACTTCCGTTCAAGCTGCCTGCCCTGTCAAATCTCTGACTCAGAGGAAGACAGGAGATTTCATGCTCTTATACAAGATGTATTCAGGTACAGTGAGCAGATGCAGGCTGTGACCAGCTTTTTGTGCCCGTGTGAAGCCGCTACTTGAATGGCGTTTTTCACATTGGATTGTAGAAAGCTGTGTCTATAGCATATAAGACATGCCTGTTATGGCTAATACCCGCATGGGTGCTCGGGCGCTCTACGAGGGGTGTGGAAACGTCATGGGCATGGTTTAAGATGTTTGTGCGACTGCCAGTTGGGCATCACTGCACTAGTCTGTTCGTTTGTTGACTAGACGTCACTGCGGCAACGGTAGCTGGTAATGTCCGTGCTTACGCAGAGGTTGCAAGCCAGGGGCCGTCGCTCCCGTGAAATGCACGGGGTATGTGGTGGTGCTGGTCCCTTATGTTTAGTTTGGCGACTTTGCGGGGCGTGAATATATGTCCCATAGTCATGTGTTGTACCGAGTGAACCGACTGAATGGGCACATTGAGTAATGCATATAACTACTGTTCCCAGAAGGAGGGAAACAAGATACAACACCTCTGGGCCCCGCGCAGTCGGAGGCTCAGTGAAGAGCTGGACTGAACAAAGGGAATGATGAAGGCGACCGCATTTACAGCATATGCTGTGGGCTGGTAGCCCCACCCACGTCGGCATGCGTCATTGGCCTTTCAGGCGTGAATATAGGTGTCTTCAGCAGATGGCACAAGAGTGCGATATCCCATAATCATGTGTTGTACCTCGTTTCCCTCCTTCTGGGAAAAGTAGTTATATGCATAACTCAACGTTTTTATCATCAGATATTAGTTTTAGCTCGTCAACGTCTCATCTTAGTCACAAAAAAAATGTTCGTTAACGATTATTTTTCGTTGTCGTCTTCGTTGACGAAATTAACACTCTTAAATACAACAAATCTGAATTCATTTGGTACTTCTTGAACCCTAAAGCCCACAAACACAACTCACTTCCACTCAACTGACATTATCAGACACGATCTGTTTTCTTTGCACCTTTTACTTTGAGCTGTTAGATGCCCAACACGGTGATATGTGTATGATGTGTTTTGATGTATATATTTCACAGGTCATGCAGCGGGAGGGAAAGGACATCAACATCACGCAGGTCATGGACCGCTGGACCCTGCAGATGGGCTACCCTGTCGTCACCATCAGCAAGAACGACAGTCTTGACAACAGTGTCACCATCTCACAAGAGCACTTCGTCTATGACACGGACGCTAAGATCCAGAATCCTGAGCTGTTCAACAACAGGTAGACTGGTTGTGACCGGTTGTTACATAAAAATGAAACACCATTATTCAGCTGAACTCTTGACATTGATTCTCCATGAGCTCATGCACCGTTGCAGAAATCCACCATAATATATGGAGCAGAGGAGTGTACGTTTGCCGAACACTGCAATACTGAATAATGTGAAAAGCCCACAGTCAGTGATTCTCCTCCCAGAATTCACTGATAGTTTCCTGTGATCAGATCAAGCTCAGACAGAAAAAAAATATATCCTAGTAGCAATGCAGCTGAAAAGATGAAAAATTAATTTTGATAAAAAATGAGATTAAACCTTAAGTTAGTTTGGAGAAAATACAGAAGAATAGACTACCCTAGCGCCCCACAACAGCATGAAGACCCAAGTTATGTGAACAGTTTACTGCTTAAAGGTCCCCTGAAATGCTTAGAAACACGCAGCGTTACTCTATGTGTTGACGTCATTTTAACTGAAACAGAAAGACAGGGCGGGACATATCAAGCAGCCCTGCCCCTTTTTAAAATAGCCAATAGCGTTAGTTTATAACACAGCTTGGGCTAGAGCCGTTCAGAACCGTTGAGCTCCGTAAAGCCGCATTTGACAGGGTATGCCAGCCACAATCTCATCCATATTGCTAAAAAATCTAGCATTCTGTGTAGAATTCAAATAGCTCCAATACATTTTGTGATCTGTGCCGACTCGCGCATGTGATCCGCTCCGTGCTATCGTGTCTCTGGACCGGAGCAGAGTGTGTGTGCGGTGCGATGGTTAGCGTGACACAGCGCGAAACCAGACTTCTTTTTTTCCTCAATGGAAAGCATAGTTACACTGTCTGAATCGTTCCCTGTCCCCTATATAGTGCACTACGTGCCATTCACTGTACAGAAAATACTAATTCTGTGGACAAGTGACCGATTTCAGCCGCGGCTTCAGCGTCTATTTTATAGTGTAGGGGCGGCCGCTTCGGATTCTAGAGAGCATTTGATTGGACAGAAAGTTTGATGAGAAGCATAAGTATGATTTGACGTGGCGGAAGTGACGAACTGCAAGCTTTCAATGCTTATATCTTCTAAACGCGAATTCTGTCACTGTTTTGG